CCCCGCACCCCAGCCCTCTACATTCCTGGACCCTCTCCTGTTGTCCTGATGGTCACGGCCTGGCCCCAGGTTCAGACGAGGTCCGCCTACAGACCCCTCCCCGGGGGTCTGTGACCGCCCTGGACAGGGAGAACCACTTAGGGCGCAAGCAGCCTCTGTGCTGTGCCGCCGGGGCGCGCGGTGAGGCTGAGCGCGCACGGGGCTGGGGGTGCCCCAGGTGCGGCAGAGAGGGGCACAGACGCAGGTTTGGCACCCGGGGCCGGGATTCGTGTGGGGGCGGGGCCTCAGCTGGTGGGGGCGGGGCTGCTTCCTGAGCCCGCCCCCCTCCGCCCCGGGGCCCCTCCTGCCCGCCCGGACTTCCTTCCGGTGGGGGCTCAGGTCTCGCCAGTTGGGGTCTTGCGGTTTCTTCCCCCGGAGCCGGGCTCTCCTCGCCCGCAGCCGCCCCCTTCTCGGACCCAGTGTCTTAGGTGGAGACAATGACAACGTGGACAACGTGGAGAGTGCTTTGGCTCTCCCTGGGGCCCCCTCCGCCTTTCCTGGGCCCCTGCCTCTGAAGGGTCCACCGCAGACGTCCCGCCAGAGCCTCCGCCCAAACCTTCTTACCAGGCCGCCAACCACCCGGTCTCAGCCCTGTTCCCCTGCCCATCTCCCCAGTCCGTCCTCGAAACTGCCCCTCTGCGAGGGGGACCCAGTTTAACTTCTTACTCCAGCACCCTACCTGCCACCAAGTGTCATCGCAGCCACCAGAGCCAGGCCAGTGAGATGTGCCGTCGCCGAGGGACCTCGGCGGGTCACTTCCACAATGGCCACCGGCATCGTGGCGCAACTGGGCCTCAAGGATCTTTTCCTACTAGACTTAGGATGGACTGTCCCCTAAGCGGTGTGACTTGCGGCCCTGAAGAGCCAGGAAGCTGAGAGCCCTTCCCCCAGAGTGGGGTGGGGCCTGGAGGAGGAAGGGCCGCACCTCCCCTCCCTGGCCCCCAGACCACACCTGGGAAGTCCTGTTGGGTTTTGTTTTGGAGGGGAGAAGTTTTCCAGAACCACAGTCAGTGGGCAGAATGTCTCCTGAGGCCGAATTGGCAGGTACACGTTCCTTGTGGTTGGTTTGGGGTCTGTCCACAGTAGAAAGATGGACTGCGGTGGCCTCACAGCGTCCCTCCGAGTGAGGCCCGGGTCCTTCTGCATCTGCGTTCTCTTGCAGAAAGTGACCAGTGCAGCCCCCTTTTTT